GTCTTACCCCACATCATCCTGTCTCGGGCCCCCAGGCCAGGTTACACGGGCACTGGAATTTGGAGGCACCAGACCCCGGGATAAGACCCCGAAGGGCTTGTCTTCTTAGAATGGGTTCCATTTTTCCCCAGCCACAGTCTGTTTGAGGAATGATTTGTGATTTCCATTGTCTTTCCAGGTGAATCTTCATGGTTCACTGCCAAGAGCAGGAAGGGCCCCCACATCGCCAATGTTGGACCCCCAGCAGGGCCAAGAGGCAGGGGCAGGGGCAAGGCTCCGTTGCCAACTGTCACAGGTGAGCTACCTGATGTCCACGCAGGTGTGGTGTCCTGTCTCAAGTTACACTTGACACCCGTGTCCCTCAGGGTTCCTCTGCAGGCGCCTGGGAGTAGGAGGGATACTCTCCTGGGGGGGTTCCCGGGGTGATGGACAGTGAACTGGAAGTGGGCAGAAACACATGGGGTAATAGTCTCCAGCACCTTCCTCACTGCCCCTACTGCCGGCCCCCCCGGAAAGGCCACAGGTAAGGGAGAAGCAAGAGGAGCCCAGCTCGAACCTGGCCTTGGTCTCTACTAAGGGATCTTGAGCAAGTGTTTCCTTCTTTGGGGGCCTCAGTTTCCCTGAGTGTCAGTGGTTAGGAAGGCGGTTGCCCGGGACTTGTGTACCGCTATACAAACTAAAATTGACTGCCTCTAAGCCTTTCTAAATACTGGCAAGTTTTCTAAAAACCCATGGATGATTTCTTAATCTACTTAAGGAGAACCTTTACAGAGGAGAAACCTGGCAGAAAGCCTTACCCCTGCTGATAACTGGTCCCATCACCTGCCTGAATCCAGCTGTGGGGAAATGTGAGTCTGACCTACCCTGAGGGACAGTCTGTTAAGGTGGCCTGCAGCCTTCAAAACCATCAGGGACACAAAAGATGAAGAGAGGCTGACGAAACCTTGCATAATAGTCAGAAGTGACAAGACAAGGGATTGCAACACATAATCTTGTGCTGAATTATGGACCAGGAAAACAATGGTGATTGAGATACTTGTTGAAATTTGAATATGCATCATTAGATAAAAAAGTATTGTATTAATATTGGGGCGCCTGGGGGACTGCTCAGTCGGTTGAGCCTCCGACTCTTGATTTCAGTTCAGGTCATGATCCCGGGGTCCTGGGATGGAATCCCGTGTCTGGCTCCTTGCTCAGCGGGGAGCCTGCTTCTCCCTCTCCTTCTTCCTGCTTGTGCTCTCTCTCTCTGTCAAATAAGTAAAATCTTAAAAGTATTGTATCAATATTAAACATCCTGAATTTAATGATTGCACTGTGGTTATGTATCAAATGTATGGGAAGTGTTTCAGGGTGAAGAGCCACAATAATTACAAATGGTTTTGTAATAACAAGAATATAGAGAGAGAGGTGAATGTCAAATGAGGTGAACGTTAATACCCAGTGAGCCTGCTGAGGCTCCATGGGTGTTGATTGCTCTTATTTCAATAAAACGTATTTTAAATTATAGTGGAAATATACATTCAGGTGCTCCAGAGTGCTACTTTATATATACATTATATACACATCCCATATTTTCACCACAACCTGGGTACTACGATTACCCGACTTTATAGGAAAGGAAACAAGCTCAGGGATCAGCAGTTTGCTGGGGACCACTTAGCCAGTGTGTGGCCAGCCAGGATTGGAGACCAGGACCACCCTCTGGCTGAGGCGTGGGGTTTTGCCACCTTCCCTGTAGCTCCTGCCATGCTCAGCCCCCAGGGCCAGGCCATGCTGTTCCTTGCTTGCAGACTTTGCACTTGCTATTCCAGGCTGTTCTCTCCACTGGAAAGTCCTCTCTCCTTCCCGCCCTCTCTCGAAACCTTCAGGTCACCTCCAGGAGCTCTTCTTAGATTCCCCAACCACAATCAGATCCCCTGGGCACTGTACCCAACTTCTCAGAGTGCTCGCTGCACTTGTAATTAGTTGTCCAACGTCAGCTTCCCCTGAGCACAGGGACGGTGCCTGTTTTATTAACTGCTGTAGCCCCAATGCTGGGCACAAGAGTCACTCAAGTATTTGCTGGACTGCATTAAATTAAAAGGTGTCAGGATCCCTAGAAAAGCTGCCACCGGAGGAAACAGGAATGATCAGAACAGAAAAAGGACATCAGGGGAAAAACTGAGGAAATCTAAAGAAAGCACGGACTTTAGTTAATAACAATGTATCAATATAGGTTCAGCTGTGACAAATGGACCCCAGCCATGCTAACTACAGGGGAAACTGGGCGTGGGGTATACAGGGACTCTCTAATATGTCACAACTTTTCTATAAACCTAAGATGATTTTAAATAAAGAGTGTATTAAATATTTTTAAAAGATATTTTGAGGGCGCCTGGGTGGCTCAGTCGTTAAGCGTCTGCCTTCGGCTCAGGTCATGATCCCAGCGTCCTGGGATCGAGCCCCACCTCGGGCTCCCTGCTCAGTGGGGAGCCTGCTTCTCCCTCTCCCACTCCCCCTGCTTGTGTTCCCTCTCTTGCTATCTCTCTCTCTGTCAGATAAATAAATAAAATCTTTAAAAAAAAGATATTTTGAAAATTAAAAGGATTTGGGAGGTCGGTATTTGTAGACGTGAAATAATTGCTCAGGTCTATTCTAAGGGGCAAAAAGCACGGTGCAGAAAAGCAAAGGCTCTTTATGCGTGCTTGCTTCCACATGCAAATCAGCAAAGTATGTTCTGGGCCCAATTTGGTTTGTTTGTTTTTTTCATATTTTTGGGGGGCCAAATTTGGCCAGCCACCCGTTTCTGTGTGACCTCACAGCTAAGAATGGTTTTCACATTTTCAAATGGCTGAAAAAAATATGAAAAGATGAATACCATTTTGGGACTCATGAACATGATATGAAGTTCAAATTGCAGTGTCCGCCAATAAAGTTTTATTGGAACACGGCCACACACATTCATGTATGTATTACCTGTGGCTGCTTTCCTGGGGCAACAACCATAAGTTTGGCCGTCCCTGGAGAGCAAGATGAGAAATTCCTAACAGTGGTTTCCTGTAGGATGGAGAACAGATTGGATGGGGAGGCAGGAGGGATGGTTACTTGATGTGTGTTTGATCTATGCTTAAAAATCTAATTTATTCACCAAAAGAAATTTTGAGAAGGAAGGTGGGCTTCTCGGGATTCATGGGTTGGGGGTTGAGACATTTTAAGTAGAAAGGATGATGCTCGAAGGCATTTTAGGTATCCATTATTTTCCTGTGTAGAAGCGTTTTCCAAAGGTTGGTCTGATCGTGGTGGGTCAGAGTGCCTTTTCCTCCTGGAAAGGGAACTCCCCCAGGATCTACACTCGACTTCCCACGGTCCCCTTTATACTCGTGAGGGCAGCCCCGGCTGGAGACGGCTCCGACCTGCTTGATTGTTAATCCTTGGTTGTAATCAGAGAGGCCAGTCTGGTGGTGTCCAGGTGCCCCCAGATTATATTTGCTGGGAGAGAAAAGGAGTCAGGAGACAAACTGCCCAGGCAGGGGAGCAGGAAGACTAATAATAATGTTACAACGTGGCTGTTTATTAAATGCTCGGGGATACATAGCCCAGGAGTGGTCCCTCCGTCCCTGACATGTGGCAACCATATTTTCCTGGCCCAGCGCTGGGACGTGTGGACTGGCAGAGAGCATTCCATTTCTTTTAATACCTTTGAAAGACCTTCTGATTTGTGAATTTCTTTAGGGAAGGCTACATTTAGTTGCACATTTTAATAAAGGCAGTTCATGAAAATAATAAAAGTACATGAAACCAGGACCGGCCGGGCAACCTGCACTTGCCCTCTCATAAAAGGCTAATATCCCGGAGCTGCCTTATGAAGCCTGCTCCGTCCTGTCCTGACCAGGGTCTCTGTGTGCAGAAAACAACCCCCTAATTGTCATTTAATTAAACAGCACTTTCATGAATATCAATAAATATCTGTTGAATAAACGAATGACATCAAAACACGGTGACCCCTTAAATCATCTACTCTAGGTGTGAGGGTACATTTTTACATGTGTACATGTGCTTTCCTCCAATAGACTTTCTGCAAGAGGTGGAGAGGGTGAAATTCGATCTTCCAGGTAACCTATAAAGCAAGTAAATCCTCATGGGGGGGGTGGTTGAATAGTGTCCCCCAAAGAGATATACCCCATGCCCTAACCACTGGAACCTACAAATGTGACCTTAGTTGGAAAGGTCCTTGCAGATAGAAAGTTAAGGATCATGAGATGATTTGAGATGGACTCTAAATCCAGTATTGAGAAAGGAGAGGGAAGTCGATTGGATTCACACATAGGGAAGAAGGCATATTAACAGGAGGCAGAGACTGGAGGGATGCAGTCACAAGTCAAGGGAAACCTGGGGCCATCAGGAGCTGGATGAGGCAAGGAAGGATCTTCCCCTAGAGACTACCAGGAGAGTGCAACCCCGATGACACATTGATTTGGGGCTTCTTGCCTCCAGTACTGTGAAAGAATACATTTCTGTTGTTTAAAGTCACTGAATTTCTGGTAATTTGTCACAGCATCTGTAGGAAACCTAAAACTACATTAATACTACTTAATAGGTAACAGTTCTGGGCCTTTGAGCAAGTTGCCTTGCTCTGGTTCCAGTCGACTCGCGGGCAAAACAGAGGCGTCTCCCCATCTCTGAAAGGGAAGCAAGCATCCCTAATCCTTCCTCCCCTCTTAGGTCTGTTTTAGAACTCAATAATAAAATAAAATAGAGGAGGAGGCTAAAACGGCTTCCAAGTGTTTGCAGGACTCAAACACCCCGCCCGCCACACGTAAACCCTCTCCAACGTTAGGAACCAGCGCCCCCTGCCGACTGCGCCGCTGCATTGGTTTCTCTGGGCGGAGCCGAGCGGCCTGCGCTTGCGCAGAAGGCAAGCGCTCAGGCCCGCCCCTTGAGGGGTGTGATTTTCTTGGGTCCCTTTGGTTCGGACACGCCTGCTTCCGGAGGGGGCGGGCTGACGTCTGGAACACGTGATCTTGTTCCGGCTCGCCAAAGATGGCGGCCCCCAGAGCGGGAGCGTGAAAGTTGTTGGTGAAAGACGGTGTCCACTCGCGCTGGAATTGAAACTGTGGGGACTGTGCGCCATGTCGCGACTGATCGTGAAAAACCTCCCGAATGGGGTGAGTGCAGGGCCTGGACCTGGGAATCTGAAATTGGGACCAGCCAGGAGCTGGGGGCTAAGGAAGGAGAAGGTTGGGAGAGAATTGAGGGGCTTTGGCCCTGGGGCAGGACTCAGGGCGCATTCGAAACCCTAAAGGGTCAGGATTCTGGCCAGATCCCCATTTGACAGTTGGGAGAGGGAGCTAGTGACCGATCAATGGTTCACAGCCGGCCCGAGAGTACCTGACTTCCATCCCGACAAGTCTCCCAACACCCCCACGTGTGCTGAATGCTCTTTCCCACAACCCCTCTCGTACGAGCACGTTTGTTGTTGTTGTTGACTTGTCCCTGGATCAGACCCTGAACTTACATTCCTCTACCGCTTGGGAGCATTTTGGAGAGGCAAATGTGGAGTAGTAGGTTGAGGACCTGCGTTTCGATCCCCACTCCCGCCTTTAGGGCCCGTGGCCATAATTTAAGAAAACTGAGTGCATGTGAAGGGCTTTAAATCATTTATCCAATAAGTGGGGAGGGGTGACCCAGTCATACTTGTCTCTGTTTCCCTAGAGACCAGCACAGAACCTGGCACGTGGTAGGCATTCAGTAAAAACATGTGGAATGAATGAGTGAAGAAGTAGCTGGATGTGTGTGGTGTCAGATGACTGGAGACAGTGTGCCGCGGTGGTTCATCCTTACCGATTTTCCTATAGCTTTGGTTTGGGTGGAGAGCTCCCACACCATTGGTGTGGCCAGTAAGCTCATTCCCAAAATACAAAATGTGCCCTGTGGGTGGGATGAGAGAGCTTCTGTACTCTTGACTCTAACTCCTCAGGAGCTTCTCTCTTCAGAAAGAGTGATAACACAAAGCTATTTCTACTTTATTGTGGTTTTTTAACTTTTCTCTCCCTTCAGTGGGTTGTGGGAGAGCTATGACAGAATTTTAAGAATTCAAGCACTACAAAAAAAAAAAAAAAAAGTTCAAACAATGCGGTGGTGTATGAAATGAGAAGCAAAGTCATTTGCTCCATCCTACCCTCTGTCTCTCTCCAGGAGTAATCATCTTCAATGGTTTGTTTTTAGGATGCCTCATAGGTATTACTCCATGTCTAAATGGTGTGCTTTCTCCTCCATTTCTTGGTCTATTTACCCCAGTGACTGTGCTGACCCTCCCCCATGAAAGATGAGGAACCCGGGTCATCTGTTCTTCCCTTCCTGTTTTATTATTATTTTTAATTATTCCATCATTTACCCCAAAGAGTAAACTTTCAAAATACATATTGATCCATCCACCTGCTTTAGGCAGTGTCTTTTGATGCCTCACTTTGATGGATGAGGATTTTAGCGTGGCTACCCTTTCTTCCCCTCCCACTTCCATCTCACTGGGCTTCTTTCCTCATTGGACTGACTCTTTTACCATTGCTTGTGTTGTCTGGTGAATGAAAGAATTGATGAAAAAACAATAGTAGTAGCAGCTAACATTTTGAGAGCCTACTATGTGTCAGGCACTGTACCAGTTGCTTTCAGTAAAGTAACTCATTTAATCTGCAGCAGAACCCTACAAGGTAGGTTCCATTATTGTGTTCATTTTAAAGGTGAAGAAACTGAACTGCAGCAAGGGGGAAGTGACTTGCCTGAGGTCATGCACAACTGGTAATTCATAGAGCAGGGATTGAATTGAACAGTCTGCTTCTAGAATTTGCGTTCCTGACCCCTACAGCCTACTGTCTCTCTTTGCATGCTACCATGCACTTTTCTTAACTCTTTCCCAACATGTATTTAGTGGTGAGTACTCGTTATGTTGCTGACCTTGTAGACAGTGGGGGATAAGACTCAGTTCCCACCTTTACAGCATTTACGGTCTAGCAGAGGACTTGAACACCAGATCACTATGATGTAAGGGGCAGGGGTTGAAGCATAACCCAGCTGTGTGAGCACAGAGGGCTCGGGTACCTGACCCACCTGAGGAGTCCAGGAGAGGCTTCCTGGGGGAGTTGATTGAACTGAGAATGAGGAGGAGTTAGCCCAGGCCTGCTGGAAAGATTTCACCCAGAGGAGACAACTAGTAAAACCTCAGAGGTGAGAAGCAGGGAAGGCTGCAAGGACTTTGACAAGAGTTGGTGCTGAAGGGGTGGATCAAGCCAGGTCATGGAGAATCTTGCATTTTACCTTAGCTGCTTATTCTTGAGCCTCTGTCATTAGAAAGTCACCAAGAGGTTCTTAACAGAGGAATGGTGGGGTCAGACTTGAGTGTGGTTGCTCCCATGTAATGGGGAAGATGAAGTCACTGCTTTTTATGTATCTGAGCTGAGTTACAGAACTTGATTCTGTAGATCATTTATCCTGTATGAGCTTCATTTTCTTCTCCATAAAATGTGGATAATAATTCCTAACTCATAGGGTGATAGGAGATTTTAATGATCAGAGTTATTAAGAACCTGCCACAGAAAGCATGTTTTTCCTTCCGATGGGGCTGCCAAGGTCTCTAGTTTCTTGAATTTTAGACCTTGTTTTGGCTATTTGTGGCATTCTCGGTGTCTCCACTACTACCCACACACAGATCTCCCAGTAACAGCTTAGAAAACTCACTGAGTTATGCAGGTAGTCTGGCTGGAGTGAGGATGGGGGGATGCCAGGAGCCAGTTTCCATACTGTAAGAAATTACCTCAAACTTAGGGGCTTAAACAATACACATTATTATCTTACAGTTTTGGAGGGCAGAAATCCTAAAATCAAGGTGTTGGCAGGACTGCCTTCCTTTTGGAGACTCTAGGAGAGACTCTGTTTCCTTGCCTTTTGTAAGCTTCTCGAGGCTGCCTGTGCTTCTTGGCTTTTGGCCACATCCTGAAGGGTCAGAGCCAGCAGCATGGCATCTTGCAGTCTCTTTGAGTCTCCACCAAACATTGCCTTTTTCCGGCCCTGACCCTTTTGTCTCGCTTATATAATGGGACTGGACATTGGATCTGCCCAGATGATCCAGGATAACTTCCCCATCTCGAGATCCATAATGTAATCACATCTGTGAAATGCCTTTGGCCACGTGCAGTCACAGGCTCACAGGTCCCAGGGATTCAAATGTGGTCGTCTTTTGGGGAACTTCAGTATTCTGTCTACCACAGTGAGCAAACACGTGTAACTTAACCACGTTCATTTGTTCATGCGTTTATTCTGACATTATCAGGTATTCACTATGGAGGAGCCACGGTGCTGGCCTCCTTACGTCGTAGGTCTCCTTATCCTTCAAACAGCCCATAGAGTAGGACGATTTCATTGCAGCCATCCTGAGTCTTGATTTCCCCGTCCATGAAGCAAGCTAGTCCATGTCTGAGCCGGAGCTGGGGCCAGGTCCCACTGCGGAGCACACTCTGCCCCAGCCTTGTCTGAGTTTGCCCTTGGGGAATCCCGGGGCCTGGGGTTTCCAGCCCGTTTCTGTCCCCTTGGCTCTGAGGGCTCCCCTGCTCCTCCCTCACTGCGCCCCTTCTGTTGTAGATGAAGGAGGAGCGTTTCAGGCAGCTGTTTGCCTCCTTTGGCACCCTGACGGACTGCAGCCTGAAGTTCACCAAAGATGGCAAGTTCCGTAAGTTTGGCTTCATCGGCTTCAAGTCAGAGGAGGAGGCCCGGATGGCCCTGAACCATTTCAACAAGAGTTTTATCGACACATCCCGGATCACAGTGAGTCGGTTTCTGCCCGCCTGTGGAAACGGACACCCCTTGATCCAGTCGGGAGCCTGGCTGCATCCGAATCCCCTGGAGAGCTTGTTCAGTTTCTGACTCAGTGTGGGGGTGGGGTGGGACCCAAGAGTACGCACGTCGGAAAGCTCACAGATGAAGTCAGTACTGTGCCCCTGACACACCTGGACAACCACTCGTTCAGACACGAGGGGAGCACCCACGCCATGCTGGGGATTTAGAGAAACATGGTGCCCCTGGCCCCGTCCTCCTGGGGCCGGCAGGTGAATAGGCTGCTTTCACTCGGTGTTGTCAGGACTGTGATGGGGAAGCTCCAGGGACTGCTGGAGAACAGGGGAGGCCCACGTCCTGGCCCCAGAGGTGTCGGGAGAGCTTCCCGAAGGCGGAGGTCCTGTTTGTGTCACTCATGTACATTTAATGACTCAAACATCCTTAACGCTTGGTTGAGAAGAGAAAACCAGATGTTAGACAAGTATATATCACGTGACTCCATTCATACAGAACCATATTTCTTATTCTCTGTGTGAAACATAGAAAGAGCTGTTTTACCAAAACATTAGTTTCTCTCTCTGGGTGATAGGAATTGGGGTAAAAACTTTTTTTTTTCACTTTCCTTGTACGTTGTTGATTTGAGTTTTATACACTGAGTGCATATCATTGCTACAGAAACAGCAAAATTATTTTGAAAGTTCGTAGAAAGGGGTTTGGCAGGCGGACAGCACCCCCTCCCCCCAGGGGTAGAGACGGCGCGGGCGCCCCCGAGGGTGGCAGGAAGTGCAGCCCATCTTGAGTGTGTTGGCGGGAGATGTGTCAGCTCAGGCCTGACACTGAGCATGTCTGGGCTTCTGAGTGGCCACCCGCCTCTCTCATCACCCCGGAGCTGTTCTCAGGCCAGTGAGCTCGCTCCGCAGTAATAACAGTGATTTTGGAAGCCGTTAGCTTAGCCTTGCCTCGGGCCAGACCCCGTGTCGGCCAGCCTGGGGGCTGGGTGGCTAAGAACTAGGGCTGTAGAGCCAGACCCCCCGAGTTCCTGTCCCCACTCTGCTACCTTCTCCCTGGATGACTGGGACAAGCGACTTCACTTTGCCAATCTGGGAAGTGGGAAGGGTGGTGGTCCCCCCCTTCTGCTGTTTTGGAGGCTCAGGGTCGTCCTGCTCACAGAGCACTCAGACTGCCTGGTGGGTGGAATTGGTTGCTACGTGTAGCAACTGGAATGACTTTAGGGAGGAGAAAGCAGAGGCCAGCAGAGGACGCCCACGGCTGACCCCTGGACAGTAGGAGTTTGAACTGCGCGGGCCCGCCTATACACAGATTTTTTTCCATGAACACAGTACAGTATCCTAAATGTATTGTTTCTTAGGATTTTCTTAACATGTTCTTTTTCCCTAGCTCATTTTATTGTAAATACAGTGCATCATACATTTGACACACAAAATACGTGTTAATTAACTGCTCTCGGTAGGGCTTCTGCTCAGCAGGAGGCTATTAATAGTTAGGTTTGGGGGGCAGTGGAAAGTTACACACAGACTTTTCATTACACGGGGGTCAGTGCCCCTAACCCTGTGTTGTTCAAGGGTCAATTGTAATTTGCTTTTACTGGCACAGCTCGTAAGTGGCAACTGCCTTTTTAGAAAGCCTGGCTCCCAGGTGCTGAGGGTAACACCCGCGCTGGGTTGGCGGCAGGTGCCCCCATCACCCTCTCTCTCCCGTGCAGGTGGAGTTCTGCAAGTCGTTTGGGGACCCAACAAAGCCCCGAGCCTGGAGCAGACACGCTCAGCAAATAAGCCAGGCTAAGAATCCTTCAAAAGACAAAGACTCCGTCCCCACGGAACCCAAGAAAGTGCGTAGAAGGTCACTCCCACCTGTATCCCACATGTCAGCAAGGTGGTCGCCCCAGGGGGCGGGGGGGGGGGCAGGACAGATGGTTCCAGAAGGCGGACCCTCCCCAGGCAACGTGTCTGTCCCCTCTCACCGTCTGTGCCTTCTGTTTGCAGGATGACAGGACGAAAAAGGTAGCAAGTGAACTGGAGAAGGTGAGTGTGTCCTGTGGACCAAGAGGGTGGGTACCCAGGATGGTGCTGGAAGGGCTGTGGCAGGCCCCGATGGCGTGTGGCACCTGGCAGGCAGAGGCGTGTGCCTCTTGTCCCTCTCACCGTGTCTCTGTGGCTTCTTAGTCTCCTTGTCTGAGGAGTGCAACCAGCTGATCTCAGGGGTCCTCTAGAGACCGGGAGACATGAGTTCGGGGGGTACTCTCACGGGGTGGGGGGAGGTTGTCAGGATGGTGTGCCCTTGCTGAGCCTTCTCTCCCTGCCTCCCTGGGGCCACCAGCTGAAGGAAGACACCGAGTTCCAGGAGTTCCTGTCCGTGCACCAGAAGCGGACGCAGACAGCCACGTGGGCCAATGACGCCCTGGACGCCGAGCCCTCGAAAGGGAAGAGCAAGGCCACCAGTGACTACCTGAACTTCGACTCCGACTCTGGGCAGGAGAGCGACGAGGAGGGTGCTGGCCAGGACCCAGAAGGTGAGGGTATCCACGCGCACCCCCCTGCCAGGGTGCGCGCCCCTGTGTGTGTCCTGGCCTGGGTGGCCGTGACCTGGGGCCCCTCGGTGCCAGGCACGGGAGGCGACGTGAGAGACACTGTCCTCTCTGGGGGTGATTATCCCACCCAAGATCTGCCCTGACCCATCCTGGTCACAGCCAGTCCAATGTTTATTGAGCACCTGCTGAATGCCAGGCACTGCTTTGGGCATTGAGGATATAGCAGCAAAAGATAGAAGAATCCTGCTCACGTGGAGCTGTCATTCTAGTCGAGGGAAAGAAACAATGCAAAATTAAGTCCACGGTTAAGAATGATATCTAAAGAGGAGCGCCACAGCGAGAAAGCAGGATAGGAGAGCTCCCAGGAAAGGCCTCCCAGGAGGGGGCCCTCGAGCAGAGGCCTGAAGGCGGGGAGGGAGGGGGCCTCTGTCCTCAGAAGGGGCTCACGGCATAGCATGGGGGCAGATGGGAACGAGAGCGTTTGCAGTCCAGAGAGGTCACTGCTGGTTGTGGGTCAGGCATCGATTTTGCTCAAAGGCGAGAGAATAGATTGAATGTGAATTTTATGCCTGGTAAAGTTTCTGGGCAAAACTGGGGTCTGGAGGACTCCTCGGGAGTGGGTGGGATACAGCAGGGAAGGGGCCGGAAGGGGGTGTCGCAGGCAGAGGGAAGAGCGTGGCTGGGGCACGGGGGAAAGGGAAGCGTAGGCGTTGGAGGGGGCCTACGTGGTTCGGGGTGACTGCAGAGGAGGAGGTAGAGCTGGGGGAGAAGCCAGTCAACTCACGCCAGCCTGACGAGGAGCGTGGGTGTCCTGCAAGCATCTGGAAACCACCAGAAGGTCATAGGTAGGGAGTGACAATCCTGTCTGTACTCTGAACGTGATCACACAGGCCGCAGTTGAAAGAGCAGGTTGACGAGGGCAAGGCCGGTGCAGGGAGCCACACAGGGAGCCATGTAGCTCTCTGGACTTGTGGTGCACGAAATGTCACAACTCTCAACAGGTACACCCCGTTGAACGTTCCATATCAGACCCACCGGGGCTGCTCGGTGGCTCTGCCCTGCCGTGCCCTCTGCCATTCCAGGCTTCTGCTTTGCCCACGACCATCCCTGACTCTTAGCGTCCCGTTTTTGCAGAGGAGGATGGCCTCGAACCCAGGGCGGCCGTGCAGAGGGAGCTGTCGGACATGGATTACCTGAAGTCCAAGATGGTGAAGTCCGAGTCGCCGTTGTCCTCGGAAGAGGAGGAGAGTGAAGACGAAGCTGTGAGCTGTGGGGACGGGAGTGGGGCCGAGGAGGAGGCCCCCAGCCCCGCGCCCGCCCAGCACGACAGAGGGAGGCCGGGGGCTGGCCCGGAGCAGGGCGCCTCATCCAGGAGCGACACACCGGGGGCGGCCAGAGCTGAGGTGTGTGCGTGGGGGTGCGTGCTGGTGCTTGGGGGGCATGAGGCGGGGGGGCAGCTGCCCTTATCCTCACCCACGGTCCCTGCGGCCGCTTTGCTAGAGGGAGTGTGTCAGGAAGGAAAGACAGCTCTGCAGCCCAGCCACCTGCCTTCAGCTCTCAGCCCTGCCATGTGTGTGCTGTGGGACCTGGGGCAAGCACTTCTTTCCTCTGAGTCTGCCTTCCAGAGCCGTGGGGTGTTACCGAGCTGCATGAGGGGCCGGAGCATGTGATGCCTTGTGTTAGTAGCAGGGTAGGCAGGTGTGAGCCACGATGGACAGTAATAGATGGAATTAGTTGAGTGCTTACTACGTGCTGGGTATAACATCTGCTTGACCATTTGTCATTAAATCTTAACGACAGCCTTCCAGGGAGTGGGGGTGTGCAGGGATTCTCGTCCCATTTTGCAGGGGAGGAAACTGAGGCCCAGTGCAAGTGACTTGCCCAAGGTCACGGCTGGGAAGTGCTGGGGTCAGGACTCGGACCCAGACCTGCTGGGCTCTGAGTCCGCGTCACAGATGTGTGTGCTACCTCCGGGGACAGGCACGCTGTCTCCCACCCGCACATTCTCTGCTCAGAGACAGGGCAGGTCGTCTTTGGGTCCCTCTTCCCTCACCTCCGTCTTTCCCACCCAGCCCTCTTCAAGGCTCCAAACATCATCTCCCTCTTTTCTCTTTCCTCGTCCTCCTCACTCCTTGATTTACGGCCCCTTCTCATGACCACACCCTGTCCTTTCCTCCTAAAAGTGTATGTTCCAGAGAGGTAGTCAAGTATGGCGAAGTCAGAGAGCTCTAGGTTCAAGTCCCAGCTCCGACACAGAGTAGCCATGGGGCCTGGGGTGAGGTGCTGCTCCCCATCTAAGATGACGCTCAGCATAGCAGTGGCCTCTGCGGCCAGTTTCCGAAACCCCCGTGCCTAAGCATATGCTGGCACTCACGGTTTCCGAGTTCAGGAAGATACCTCGACGCCTCGTGCACTGTAGCACCCCCCGTGGGGTCTGGGGCAGCACCCCATAATCAGGCACATGTCTGTTCATGTCTGTTTCTGCAGTGAAACCAGGAATGACCACTCATCCTACAAGGGATAAAGGCAGACGGTATATTGCCTCACGTCAGCTCAGAGCAGATTTTGATGGCCAGTGACTTCAAGTCAGAGCAACTTTTGTTGCCAAAGGAATTCTAGAAAATTTAGATTTTTTTTTTTTTCAGGGCTATTTAGATTCAGAATTACAAAGAAGATCCTGAACCCATAATATTCTAAGGTTGTTTTGAAGATTCAGTAGGATAGCAGCATTTACAAAGTGCTTTGGACGAGCGTCTGGCCCAGAGTTAAGCCCTGTAGCGAATGTCAGGATATCTCCGGGGTGCATCCAGTGCTCTCTGCCCCTCCTTGTAGCCTGAAGCCCCTGTTAGCACACCCTTACCTCCACCTGCAGCCAGACTGCACACCGCAGCAGGCATGATGCTGGTCAGCATTCCCTGGCTTGCCCCGGCCGAAGGTGCCTCACTGAGATGTCTGGCCCTGCCTCCTCCTGAAGCTGTACCAAGGAACTCAGTGGGCCCATTTCTGTTCTTTGCCATCATGCAGGCAGACAAACCGGCAAACCAGAAGGAACCCACCACCCCCTACACTGTGAAGCTGCGGGGAGCCCCATTCAGTGTCACGGAGGTATGACCAACAATGCAACAAGGGCAAGGAGAGAGACCCCGGGAGAATAGGAGGCAGGGATGAGGATGCTGGGAGGCTCTGCTGCATGGGGGCTTAAGGATCATTGAGGACTTGACCTGGAAGGAATTGGGGTCAGAAAGGCAAAGTAAGATCTCAGGCAATGGCAGGGTCAGGAAACAGAGATGGCCCTACAGAGATCAAGAAAGACTGATATCACTCCCTGGTTCTCTACGTTAGGAGTGGCGAACACTCTCTCTTAAAAATTTTTAGGGGCGCCTGTGTGGCTCAGTTGGTTAAGCGTCCCAACTCTTGGTATCAGCTCAGGTCGTGATCTCAAGCCCTGTGTTGGGCTCCACGCTTAGCGTGGAATCTGCTTGAGATTCTCTCCCTCTCTGCCCTTCCCAGCCCCTTACCCGCTGTGCTCTTTCTCTCTCTCTCTCTCAAAAATAAGAAAAATTTTTTTAAAGGATGAGCTGGTAAATACTTAGGGCTTTGTGATCAATATGGACTCTGTTGTGACTACTCAACCCTGCGTTGTAGCACTGTGGCAGCCCTAGACAATAGGTACACAGACAGGCATGGTTGTGTGCCAATAAAATTTTATTGACAAAAACAGGCCACGGGCCACATTTGGCCCACATACCGTAGTTTGCTGACTCTGGGTTTACACAGCAGAGAAATTTTTAATTTACTTCCTTGTGAATAGAAGTTCAACATAGGAAATTTTTTTAAAGTAGCTAAGTAAAGAGAAGTCATGTTACCTGTAACTAAGATGACCATATTAAATGTCCTCCAGCTGAGTTGAGAGTGGGAAGAGTGCTAACCAGATAGGGTGCCAGGACATAAGTCTCCTTCCTGCAGGTGTAATTACTGACTGTCCCAGGCAACCTGGGTGTGTTTAAGGTGGGGCAACCTTGAACACACACACACACACACACACACACACACACACAAACACACCCTATATCCCGCTCAGTGACTACCACTAATGAATTCTGAGCATATCTTTTTAGATACTTTTATACATACAGGTCAGTGTATATAAACATTCACCTCTGTCTCCTAGTTTTATAAAGCATTCCTACAGTAAGAACTATTTTGAAACTTTTTTTCTCCATTACCACAATATGTTAAAAATATCTTTGAATATTGAATTTTCTGCTACAGCATCATTGTTCATGTTGTATGTTTTTCTTACTCTGGACACATTGTGATACACTCACCCAGTCCCCTAAGGTGGAGCCTGGGGGTTGTTGCCTATCTTTTGGTGTTAATAATAATGCAGTCAGCATTCCTTGAGACCAGAAGTAAGCAGATTTTTTTTTTTTTCCTGTAAAGGTCAGATAGCACAGATTTTAGGCTTTGGGGGCCATATGGTGTCTGGAGCACATTTGTTCTCTTTTTTAAAATAACCCTTTAAAAATGTAGAAACCATTCTTAGCTCGCAGATCATACAAAAGCAGGCTGTGGGCAATATGACCTGTGGGCCACGGTTTGCCAACCCTTACTCCAGATAAATATTTTATGCAAGCACATGCACGGACATTTTCAAGGCTTTGATACAGAATGTCAGTTGCCCTCTGGAAGCATTCCTGATTTATACTCCCTTCAGCGGGTACAAAAGTGCCCACTTCTGTGGACGCTGGGTGTTCATCTTTATCAAGATGATAGGCAAAAATGACATCTCATTTTAATTTATATTTTGAATTATTGGTGGGGTCGATCACTCTTTCACATTTGTAAATCAATGTACATCTCCTTTACAAAGTGCCCAGCCGTATCTTTCCCCTTTTTTTTCTCTTGAAGTGTTCATCTTTTTTGATAGTCTGTATATTTACTAATTTTTAAAATTTAAGCTTATCAAAGTTCATCTATGCAATCCGCATGTGGGTCGCACTAGACTATCTGAGTTAGCTGGTAGAGTCCTTGTGGAAAAAAAAAATTCATCTATCCACACTCTTCCGTACATTGCATTTTTTACTTGATGGTACATCGTGGGGATCTTCCATATCAGGACATTCTTTTTCATGATGCATTATATTCTACTGTTTCAATGTGCCACACTTTAGTTTCAATACCAAACATGCAGAAAATCATACTTTAATTAAAAAAAAAAATAAGGAAACACTAGATGGCTTTTTGCAAAATTCATTCATAAAAAATGGTCACTTTTTTCTTCTCCATGAACAAAAACAAAATGTAATAGAAGAAAACGTTTGTATATAAAACAGAAAGAAAACCTATCTCTAGATAGTCTGATGAATATTGTGTGTGTGTGTGTGTGTGTGTCTGTGGAGGCTTTATAGATTAATAAAAGTTTTATAGAGAAGACATTAAACTCCAGTGAGGGATTTAAAAGAATACTTACGTAAATGGAAAGCCATTCATTTTTAGCATGTAAAGATGCTAATTCTTCCTTAATCGTGAATAAATGAATAAGCTCAGTTATAGCTCATCAGGATGGGGGCGGTGTCATAGAACATTGGGGGATATCCTGCAAGAATAGACCCTTTCCCTACAAGATACTGAAACATGTTTGAAGCAACAGCAATTAAAAGTTTGGTTCAGGCAAAGTTGTGGACAGGTTGATGGAATAGAATAGAATGCAGAAATAACTCCAGTTTATATCACATTTAACTGAGGGTCTTGGGGGGTATCTCATCAATGAAGAGAAGAGAGATTTTTTCTATAAGTAATAATGGGACAACCAGTTAACCTTTTTGAAGAGAGAAAGAAAAATGGATCCTTGCCTTACCTCTTATAGCAAGGTAAGTTTCAGATGTAACGAAAGCTTTAAAAAAAACTATAAAAATTACAGGAGAAAGCATTGGTGAATTTACTTGTAATATTAGAATGAAACAGGCCTCTCTGAGCGATTTGCCGAACACGGTGGCTATAAGGAAAAAGATGAATTAATTGATGACAAAACAGTTAAAACTTCTATAAGACAACAAATGTCATAAAGTCAAAAGACAACACATTTGGAAAGAACTCAAATACATGGAGGCTAAAGAGCATCCTACTAAAGAATGAATGGGTCAACCAGGAAATTAAAGAAGAATTAAAAAAATTCATG